GGGGGGGGGTCTGGTGGTGCAGCGGCGAAAGCACTCGCTACCGACCAGAAGGGGCGCGCACGGGACGAAGGCGCGGCGGCGGCTCCTGCACAGATTTTGCAGTTTTCCTCTGGGTTCCTGCCTTTGTTTCATTCTGTGCATCAAAGTCTCCACTAGATCCCAGGTCATCCTGAGCCCTCTGGTATCACCTGGACCTTGTTAAAGTGCAGATTCCGACCCAGCCTGCGGTCGGGGGAGGGGAAGGCAGCTAGCAGGGAGTGGACTGGTAGGAACCCTGGTGAGTGGTAGCAGTGAGGGGTCCCACAGCGCTGCTCAGGGAGCAGTGCTTGCCAGAGGATGGTGGGGTTCCCATAGCGCTGCAGGGGGTCAGTGTTTGCTGGAGGACAGGGACCCCTGGCAGGTGGACCTCACCTGCTGGCATAGACAGGGGATCTCTCAGCATCCAGGGTGTCTGATGGCCTCCATCCTACCTAGGCCCTTGCCCTCCACATCCTGGGTGCCTGCTTCATGGCTGTGACCCCACCGATCTTGGTAGGCGAGCCCTGGTGGCAGAGTCCTCCCCTATACCCCCCACCTTCCTGGCATCTGGGACCCTTCAGCTCCTCACCCCGAGTTCTCTCCATCCTCAGCTCCTCTTCTGCCTTCAACCCTCCCATCCAGGTCCCTAGGTCCTGTGGGCTCCACCATCAGAATGGTCACAGGCCCAACCTTCCCAGCCGCTCCTTCCCTGTTCCCCGCCTCCACTGGCACAGAAGTGAGGGAGTCTTTTAATCGTGCTGCTTCTCCCTCCCAGAGACGCTCCAGTTGTACTGAGACTCTGCTGCGTACAGCCCCTGCCCAACTGCCCCTCACTGTCCCCACCCCAACCTCTGCTCCCTCCATACCCCTCTGCTGCTGCTCCCCGGCCCTCCCCTGGCTGAGTGCTCTGATCACGGGGCCTTTGCACTTCCTGTTCCCACTGCCTAGTGGCACAGAGGTTAGATACATGGTTGTTACTGAAAGTTGGCGCTTCACTCCCTGAGAGAGATGTGACAGTGAGCTTCCAGAGAGACCTTACCGGGCGGCTGTTCCCTGTCCTGCAGGGTCACTGTGGGTCAGGACTGATGGACTCCAGGCCTTTGCACCAGGAGCACTTGCCTCCCCAACCCCCACCCCAGGCAACTTCCTGCCTCTCTTCCTGGACATTACTTTCGATTGTCAGAAATGGAAACTGAAAAAAAAAAAAAGAAAGAAATGGAAACTGAAACCAAGATGCTGTGGACAAGGTTGGAGCCACTGGCATGGACTGGGGGCCTCTTGTCCTCAGGACACAGGCTGCGTGGTTTGAGGTCGGGGTTGAAGGGCTTCAGGAACCCCGTCCCCAGAGTTCCCGGCAGCCTGGGCTGAGGGGCCTGCAGGTGTGTGCAGGGAGCTGACCTGGCATGGGATGGGGATGGGAATTCATTTTCCATTATAAAAACTCCTATCTCAAAACAATTCTGAGATATCATCTCACCCCAGTCAGAATAGCAAAATTTAACAGAACAGCAAGCAACAAATGCTGGTGAGGTTGTGGAGAAATGGAACCCTTACTCACTGTTGGTAAGGTATAAAATGGTGCAGCCACTGTGGAAGGCAGTGTGGCATTTTCTCAAAAAATTTCAAATAGGGAAGCTCTGGTGGCCTAGTGGCAAGAAGCTGCACTGCACTGCAATCCCAGAGGAACAAATCCACCAGATGCTCTGCTGGAAAAGGAGGGACAATCTCCTCCTGTACCAGTCAGATCCGATTTGATGGTACATGCACAAAAATAATAAGAATAAGAATAAAGAATAAGAATAAAAAAGTTGCAAATAGAGATACCATTTGACCCTACCCTGCACTGAAAAACAAGGAACTCAAGCACAATATTATTCAAAATGGGTGACCCTGGAGGACATTATGCTGAGTGAAGTATCTCAGTCACAAAAGGACAACTACTGCATGGTGCCACTGTTGTAAAACAGGACTGACATCAGGGTTGGGGTAAGACTGAGAAAGATGGGCTCAATAATATATACTGCATTGAAACAGATGATAATGGAGAAAACTGTTTAAAAGGGATATGTGATTAGGTATTTTTATCATGACAGGAGTCCAGAGCAAAGGCTGCATAGTGGAGTGGACCTGGGGGGAGGGATTGTATAACAATGAAATAAATTTTCTTTTACTTTTCCAAGAGTGGAGTGTACTGAGGGGGAGGATTGGGCGGGGAGAAAAGTGCAACAATGAATGAATGGGGCAAAAAACCCTGAAAACTCTTCTCAGGGAAACTTGAAAAATGTAGCAAATTAAAGAAATGCATTTCCCAGAAAAATATCCCCCCACCCCGCACCCTACCCCTCACCGGGAGCCCTCGCCCTGGAGGTGGTTCCCGTGGTGATTGTGGTGAACAGTCTGCTCACACCCTGCCCGCCCTCACCTTCCCCCCTTAGGCCTTTTCAGGGGCTGATCTCACAGCAGGATGTCACCCACCGACCTTTCTCCCCAGGCTTCACCTTAGACCCGGCTGGTGTAGGGCGGCCAGTAACTAGCCCCTGCAGTTACAAAAAGTCAGACAAAGCAGCTTATCAGGCACTATACCAGCTAGGGGGGCACCAGCCAGGGGGGGCACCAGCCAGGGGGGCAGCGTTTCCTGAGACCTTGCAACAGAATGATTTATCCAGAATTGGAGTTCCATTTACACCAAGTGCTGAAAGGAGGTGGGTGGCGCCTTGTCAGAACCAAGCCATGGCTGACCCTCCAGCAATTTTCACAGGCGGTAGACTGCCCGACTCAGAGCAGCTAGTGGATTTGAACCATATACCTTCAAGATGGTGCAGCTGCTTCTTAGCACCAGGCCACCAGAGCTCCCTTAAAGCGGGTGCCTGTACATTTTGCTTCGTGGTTTCTTAAATACCTCTGATTGCTCTTTCTGTGCCCCACAAAGCCATGGCTTATGGTTCCAAGAAGCATCTGCAACGCATAGCAGCTCCGGAGCAACGGATGCCCCACAGACTCCCTGGTGCGTTTGCTCCTCGTCCATCTACTGCTCCCCACAAAGTGAGAATGTCTGCCACTGATCATTTTCTTGAGAAACAGACTTAATTAGGTACAGGGCATAGGAGATGAGGGTCAAAAGATCTGCATGCAGCGGTTCTTTGAGATTGATGGTGAGGTCTGAACGGGTACAATCTACCCTGCTGGTTGTGCGGATGTGATCAGCACTTTCCAGCCTGGAGGGAATTTCCGTCTCATCTGTGACATCAAGGGTCGATTTGCTATTCACTGCATGTCACTTGAGGAAGCAAACTACAAGTTATGCAAAGTGAGAAAGATCTTTGCGGGCACAAAAGGAACCCCTCATCTGGTGACCCCGTGATGCTCGAACTTATCAAGATGAATGACACCGTTCAGATTGATTTGGAGACTGGAAAGTTTGACACTGGTCATCTGTGCGTGGACTGCAGGTGCCAACCTGGGGAGAGCTGGTGCGGTCACTAACAGAGAAGCTTCCTGGCTCTTGATGTGGTTCATGTGAAGAATGCCAATGGCCACTGCTTTGCCATCTGGCTGTCCAGTGATTTTGTTATTGTCAAAGGCAGTAGCCATGGGTTTCTCTTCTCCAAGGAAAGAGTGTCCACCTCACTATTGCTGAAGAGAGAGGAAGAGACTGGGGACAAAGCAGAGCGGGGAGGGGGCGGTGGTGAATGAGCGCGGGGTGAGGTGGATGAAGAGGAAAAAACCAATGACAATGCAGCTTTTTAAAAAAGACACCTTTTGTTCTGGACAGCAAACCTCTATTTACAGCTTATTGAGACACAGGAAAGAGGAAATACACAGTAGGTGTTACTCGGGGCACTGAGAACCCAGGACTCCGGACAGGTTGTGTGTTGCTCGGCTGTTGCTGAGGGGCTGGCCCACACCACGCTGTGAGTGTCAGGGGGGCTGTGCGCTGCAGGCCCTCACACAGGTCAGGTACAAGGCTCACCTTCCAGCACACCTCGGGTGGATTCAAACCTCCAACCACCAGGGACTCCTCCAGGGTACTTGTTGCTTTTGTTAGGTGCTGTGGGGTCAGCTCTGAATCAGTGACCCCCACATAGAGCAGAACAAACCCTGGGCTGACCTTGTGTCAGCCTCATCTCTCCTGGCTGCTGTTGTGGCCAGTCCCTCTCCTGTGCTGACCTTCTTTGCCAAGTATCATGTCCTCTGCCAGGGCCTGTCCTGTCCGAACAGTGCGCCTTAAGGATGGGAGGTGATTCTGCTGTCCTCTCAAAGTGCCTGGTGCTGTCCAAGCATCTGTTGTCTTTCTCCTCTCTGAATCAGTGGCTTCTTTCCTTGGTAGGACTGTGGAATAAGCCCAGCTGGTGGCGAGCACCCCTACCTGGTGGAAGGCGTTGTAGGGGACAAAGCACCAGTAATCACTCCGGTTACTAAGTCAGGAAAGGTGGTTTGTTCCAGCACGCTGTAGAAGAGAAAAGGATCGCTGGAAAGCTGAAGAACAGGAGAGTCACCTGACCCCAGGCCAGCTAGCCTGAGGCTCCTGAAGAAAGATTTAGACAAGTTACACTGTGGAAGCCCCATTTACATCAGAGCGCTTCCTGGGTTCTTAGAGAAGAGAGACCTTTTGTTATGGGTAACAACCCCCTTGTCTGTCAGAGAGCAGAATCGGAAGGATGCTTATCTAACACAGAAAAGGGAACAACACACAATAGGTGTCCCTGAGGCAGGGGCCTGAGAACCAGGTGAATCCTCTAGTGCAGGCTGGTGGTCATGGAAATGACCATGAATGTAAGTCCCTCTGTCCTTAGGAGTTACCTTGCTTTTAAGATGCTAGTTCTGTATGTGTGTGATAATGGGCTAATTGTTGGCACGGTGGGTGAGGTGGGTGAAGCTCTAGAATGGGCAGCCCTCAGGTCTCTGAGTTGGTCATGGGATTGCAGAATCAGCTTGGCTCGTGCCCTGCACATGTTTGCACTAAAACAGAGGGAATGGAGTCACCCTGAGGTTGCCAACTAGCCCTGGCAGGACGAAGCTGTCCACAGCGCGCTGGAGGGGAGGGGCGTGGGACTGCAGAGCACAGGGCCTCAGCACTGCCCGTGCAGGGCTCACCTTTAGGACCTGCTTTTGGCATCTCCTGGAAGCCAGTCCAGCAAAGGTGGTCCACCCAGCCTGGCCACACTCTTTGGGTCTGTCCTCCTGCCGCGTGGCTGTCTTCGGAGGTCTGGCTTGGAGCGTGGGACCCAGGCTTAGGATGCTGGTGCTCTGAGGGGAGCCCTGTTCCCTGCTCCAGCAGAGCCTCTTCTGGGCGTTATGTGTCACCTCCTTGGGCCCTGCCAAGCTAGAAATGTCTGATTTTGTTGTCTGATTTTTGTCGGTGGAAATGGCTGGTTTCATGTCACGCTTCCATCATCAGGGAACCCGGCTTTTCATGCTGTTTTCCTTGGAGTTGCCTGATGTTCATCTCCTCACCGCACCCCAGGAAGGAGCTCTGGTGGCTTGGGGTGGGGCTGCCAACCAGAAGCTTCCAGTCCACCAGCCTCCCAGTGAGGGGGAAGATGGGCACTTTCCTCCCACAAAGATTCCCAGCCTCAGAGACTCAATGGAAGGTCCCAGGACTTGGAATCTGATGAGTATTGAAAGGAGCAGTGGTGGTGCAGTGGCCAGAGCCTTCCCCACTCTCTGAAAGGCCTGCCGCTCTCCAGGAGGAAGAGGAAGCAGCCCGAGTCTGTGAAGGTTCAGACCCACTGCTGGGATCTGCTTTGTCACGCTGGGTTCTGGGAGTCAGAATCCACTGCTCTCCTGTTGGTTTTTAATGATGGGTTTTACAGCCGTGGGTCCTGTGTCGGGATAACCATAGCCCCCTTCCTGCTGTGTGGGTGACACAAACGGGCACTGTCAGGTGTGGAGTCCTCTGGGGGGGTCACTGGGCCTCAATCTTACTGCTGCCATCTCTGTTCCCCAGTTTGCCTTCAGGTTGATTTTTGGGGGGGGGGTGGCGTGGTAAGAAAGGTCCCGAGCAGGATGGGAGTTTATGGGGGTGCAGGGACAGGGCTGGAGGGAGGGCTGCTGACTAAGATGCCAGTCGAAGTAAGGGCCCTGGGGGAGGCATTCCACTGGAGGAAGAGGAGGGGCTACTTATATTAAGGTTCAGTCTTCGAAACCCCACGAGGCAGCTCTCCTCTGGCCTATAGGATTGCTCACTTGGAACATCAGTGGGTGTGAAAGGGTCATGGGGTGGTGCTGGGTCGGGGGTCATGTCCATCATTTGTTTGGCTGGCCTATGGTTGTGAAACTGGGGGCAGACCAGCCTGGGGGGAAGGATTAACGTGTGGAGGACGGAGGCCTCAGGACGGCACCCCACACTGAGGAGGAGGGACTTTCGACGGTGGATGGGGAGCCCTGCCCTCTGAACACATCCTTCAGGGGGGTGTTCTGATCAGGAGAGAGGAGGGGCTGGACACCGTCTGGACAGTCTCAGTTCACCCCCATATGATCCCTGCACAGCCCTCTGAGCTCCCTGAAGGAAGGAGGCGACCCCCAGAAAGCAGGACTGAGTAATGCTGGCTCATCTGAGAGGCCAGGCAGGATGCAGAGAGGGGGCCAGGGTGACACTCTGCCAGAGGATGCCCCGTGGAGAATGGCCTTTCTCCTCTTGACCTGCTGTCCCCTGAGATCCAGTGCTTCTAATCTGCCCAAGACTGGTTCTCCGGAGAAGAAACCAAGACACTCCTGTGCCTGAGCGAGGGGGAGCGGGCACGTGCTTGCAGAGGCTGGCGGGCCCGGGTCTGCAGGCCAGAGAGCAGGCTGCAGGCTTCTTCTGGCCGGCAGCTGCACTGAGTGCCTCTACCCGCTCTTAAGGGAAGGACGGCCTCCTAGGCACTCAAGAGAAATTCGGGGCCCACGTTGGCCCACAGCATTGATCTTCATGGCCCTGGTTGGTTCTGGTTCAGTCCCCAGCTGATAACTTACATTTCTAATCCATGGGAACAGAATTGACCCTTTAACAAGATCTTTAAGATTCCTAAAGGAGTTCTGACCCTATATTGTTCCCGTCTCTGCAGCTCCTGAGACTCCAGATGGGGAGATGGAACAGGGAATGGAACTGAGGGATGACGGAAGCCGGGGCAAAGGTGGACCAAAGAACCAAGACAAGCCCTGCCCGGATTCTTCCTGGACTGTCCAGATGGTGAGTAGGTCTGGTTTCCTAGGACAGTTTCACTGGGGACTGAGCAAAGTCAGGCTGCCCTTGCCCCATAGCACCTTCTTCAGGTGGCAGGGATTCACTGTGGCCCTCCTGGTCCTGTGAACCACCCCCCAGCTTGCTGACCGCCTGTGGACACAGCAGAGCCTCTTCCCCTGTGCTCATTGGCTGTTGGACTTTCCCCTGAACGTTGGCATTTTCTTGACGTTAATTATCAGTTACAGAACTCAGGTCAGATTTACTGAGGTATTTCCAAGTACTGAGAGTCAGATGGGGCTCAGACACTCCCAAATCTGCTTTGCTGGAAGCTGTTACTATCTCTTATATAGAATTCAAATAACAAAAACCAAAACCATACAATTAGGTATACACTAGTGAAACAAATAGGAGGTAGCGAAGTCACCAGGAAATGAAGGAAGCACAGGTGCCAGTCCGGCTTCCGAGGACCACGTTCTGTGGCCGAGAGGCTGGTGGATTTGAACCAGCGAGGGCATGGTGTTTGGGTTAGCAGGTGGCTCCCTGCCGGCCACACCACCAGGCTCACAGGGATTGTGAGTTGCCTGTGATAATGGGCAGGAAGTGACACTTCTTCATCTCTTGGGCTCACAAGTTGGGGACAGGACAGGTGGCCTGGCCTCACCACACCCAAAGGGTTCCAGGTGGTCATTCTTTTTTTTTTAATTTTGTTTTATTATTTTTGTGTAAGTGTACCGTCAAATCACATCTGACTGGTACAGGAGGAGATTGTCCCTCCTTCTCTGGCAGACCATCTGGTGGATTCGAACCGTGCACCTCTGTCCAAGTGGTCATTCTGTCACAGCATTTTCCTTCCAGCAGCTGCGATGGTGCCACTCGCGGTAGCGATTCCTTAACGTGGGCACGTCCGTGGTGGTGTGGCCCCACCAGGGCATCGCCTCCCGTCCAGTGTGCAGCCTGGAGACCCGCGGGAGGGTGGCTGTGAGGCAGAATCCGCTCGATGGCACTGATGGAGTGAGACCCGGAAATGTGCCATGAGAAAGAAAGGGAGAGTCCAGCTACTGGACAGGTCGAGTGACACAAAGACAGTCCTGTTTGCGCAGCCTGTGCGTGGGCCGGGTGGGTTCTAACCCCTCTGTACCTCCACCTCCCTCGCCTTTCATTCTCACTCTGTCTCTGGGACCCTCCAGGACCTGGGCTGTCAGGCTGTCAGTGCCCAAGTTTGACCGCTCCCCTCTGGGTCTGTGGCTCGAGGATGGAGCTGAGAGCCTGCAGCCACTAACACCAGGGTTCATAGGCTGCGTCTCTGCGGGCAGGGTGAGGCACGGTCGTCCTCTGTCCCTGGGAACCTCAAACAGCCCCTTGCCCTCCTCAGGCCTGGCGGAAGAATGCCTGTGACTAGAGGAGTGAATCAAACTGCTGGTGATGCCTGGGGGTGTTGCCCTGGACCCCTCAGACGCCAGAGCCCTCTGTGTTGCTAGGACCCTATGGTGTGTCTGACTCCCAGGTGTCCTGCAGGACAGTGTGGACAGGAAGTTGCTGTCCTGTCTGCATAGGGGGTGTTCTGCTTGCTCCCGCATTGGTCATCCTGGGCAGTGCTTGGTGTCAGACCCAGGAATGAGGCAATGCAGCCAGCTTCACTGTGGTCTGTTGATGGGAGGTGTGCGTGTCATTGTGGCTATGTATGTAAGCGTGTATGTGTCTCTGTATACCGGTGTTTAAGTATCTCTGCTCCCGTGTGTGTGTGTGTTGAATGAATGTGTCTATGTAGGTGTATCTTAATGTGTGTGTACTTGTTTGGGGATGTGTGTATGTGTGACTCTGTCCTCCTCCCTGGAGCGTGAGCTTGACTCCTCCAGAAATGACCATTGTGAGTAGGACCCTGGACACGCAGTAAACCTTTGAAATGACACCATTAAGGAAAACCTGGCATTAAGAGATGTATGTGACACACAAAACAGAAATTGAATCTGATTATGTTTGGGATTCAACCTGGAGATACTAAGTTTAAGGGGTTTTGGGGCGTAGAAAAGGGGGCAAGGCTGCCAGAGTTGGCAAAAAGGTGCTAAACAGAATTCTGGAGATGTGCTTCACTGTATCCAGTCAAAGAAAATTTGTTACTATGTCAACACACAGTAACTAGAAGGCGGAATCCTGGGTCAGCAGCATTGTGGAGTTTTCTGCCCTGAATTCGATCTAGTGCCTATAGAAACATGCACATGAGAAAATATGCATAAATATGTATCTCATCTCAGGATGGGCAAAGAGTTAAAATAATTAAAGCAAAGAACAAAGACACAGAATATTGAGCTGGGAAAAGAAAACCTTAAAAGAAACTGAAAATCACTGAGCATTTGATAAGCGCACACTTGATAAGCGCACCTCCACGGCCCACAGAGTTCACAATGAGATTATCTAAATCCATTGTAAACACATGAAGTGTTCTAGCTTTGAGATCAGAAAAGGCATAAGATATCCTATCAAATGAGAGGAAGTGCTCTAAGCTTGGCCTTGGCAATGGCAAAGGGTCCCTAGCATCCAGAGGCCGAGGATGGATGGATGTTGCTCAGCGTGGGAAGCAGTGAACTGCTGAGATGAGCTACAGCTCTGAGATGAAGGAGACGGGAACATTGGTGCTTTTGAGTTGTGATGTTGGAAAAGAATCCCGAACCCCCTGTGGATTGCCAAAGGAGCAAACAGATGGGTCTTGATCATCTGTCCTTTTGGCGGTTGCTAGGAGGGGCTTGTCCTTGGAGAGGGACGTCATGTTTGGAAAGGTGGAGGGTCAACATGAGAAGAAGCCCCTCAGCCAGGTGCGTTGACGTGGTGGGTGGGCTCCGGCAGAGCAGAGGTGGTGAGGATGGCACATGATGGGCAGGATTCTGACCATTGTTCCTGAACCCCCGTCCACAGTGGTGTGTTCTGTACTATGTAGTAGGGATGTTCTGATTGGACCTCACTGACGGACGGCACCTTGGAGCGTGCTGAGAGAAGGTAGCCTGGTGCAAAAGACAATACAGTGTGTGATTCCGTCTAGACGAAATCCCCAGAATCGTCAAGTCCACGGCTCGGCCTGGCGTGCCTGGCTGCCCCCTGCCCCTAAGCCATCTCCTCAGCTTCCTCCAGACTGGTCCCTACATTTGGAGGAGCCCCCAGGAGGGCTCAGTTTTACCTGCAGGCTGGGAACAGTCTGCAGCCTGAGTGGTCTTTCTGATCTGTGGGGTCCTCCTGTGGGATCCCCAGGAGCCAGGTGACCAGCCAGGGCCTTGGCCAACAGGAAGTGACCTTTGACTGGGGGGGGGTGTTTTCTGGAGGTGCCCGGCTGAAGGAGTCCTGTTTCAACAGGGAGCTGGTTCAGAGGTTGCTGACAGGTGGGAAGTTGCCGCTTGTCCTTCCAGCAAGAGAAGAAAGGTGGGTCTGAGCCCCACGAAGGTGGTGAGCACCTTATCCTTGGACTCAGAGCAAGTAGTTTGCACAAGTCGTTAGACAAGCACCCCTGGGGGCCCTGCGTGAGAATGGGGAGTAACTGCGGCAAGATCTGAAAGTTCCCAGGAGACACAGCCAGCGAGAGAGGAAGAAGGGAGGACCAGAGAGGGAGCGAGGATGGTGTTACAGATTTGTGTAGGAATCAGCTCATGTGACTGCTGGGGACTCCCACAGGCTCGTAGCCTCAAATCCATAGGTCAGACAGTGGAAACAGGGAAGATTAGCTGTGTCCTGGCAAGGCACCTCTCCAGTCTGCAGGCAGGACGGGGAATCTCCGTCTGGGTTCTAAAGGCTGTCAGCTGGTTGCCTCAGACCGACCAGCATCAGACTCTTCACTCGCCCTCTGCTGGGTTTATCAGGCTTAAATCACACCGGAGGGGCAGCTGGAGGGGTCGAACCGCCAGAGCAGTGCGGCCGCTGGGCCAGCAGCATGGACACACTGGCAGAGTCCCCTCTGCTCATGTCGTTGTTGAGTTGGCATGACTCTTAGTGACCCCTGTGAGCCCTGCCCACCCTGCGCCATTGTCACAGTGCCCCGTCACTCCTGTTGCTGCGTTCCGTGGCGTTCCATCTCCTGGAAGCCCTTCCTTTCTTTAGATTAACCCCCTGACCCCAAAATACCCGAGGTTTCTGAGGGGGAGTTTGACCATCCTGGTCTCTAAAAAGCCCCTGGTAGTGGCAAGGTGTACTGCAATCCCAGAGGTGCATGGTTCAAATCCACCAGATGCTCTGCTGGAGAAGGAGGAACAATCTCCTCCTGTACCAGTCAGATCTGATTTGACGGTACACACACACAAAATAATAAAATTGAAAAAAAATTTAAAAAAAAAAGCCCCTGGGTGCACTTCTCTCCAGAGAGATTGGATTGTTGGCCACATGTCTTGACCATATCATGGGTCACCAAGAACAAGCAGGTGTGCCCACTGCTGTTACAGACCATTGACTCAGAACTGACCCAGGTGGTCCTCCAGCGGCTCCACAGAGGCTGCCAACAGTCCAGGAAGAGACTACCTGTCCTTCCTCACTGAGCAGCTGGTGGACTGGGGCCAGCACAGCTCCTCGCCACCCCTGGGGCACCCGAGCGCCCTACACCACGGAGGGGAAATTGCCTGACTTGTTACCAACTGATCTGATCCCAGTAACTACTTCAGAAGAGCATCTGGACTAGCGTGTGACCAATGACCGGGGCACCATTGCCTGGTCACGTGGACGTGTGCAGAGGCCGAGAGAAAGGGCCTTCCATGGGTCCAGGCTGCAGGGCTCACACAGAGTTTCTGCTCTGTTCTTCCTCCACCTCCATCCCCTGGGAAGTCCTCCCTGTCTGTCTTCCATCCCTCCTCCATCTCTGTCCCCTGGGAAGTCCTCCCCTGTGGTGTGTGAGGACTCTGACTGGAACCCTTCAAGCATCACAGGGACTCTGGACAGAAGAGAGAGGTGGTGCCTGGCCAGTGGGGCCACGTGACAAGGTCTCCCCATCACCAGCCAAGGCCTCCCTTCCTGCCTCTGTGTGAGCCTCCCCCCTAGATGTTCAGATCCTCAGGTCTTCTCACCTTTCTGGAGCGTCCCGGGCTCACTGGTAGTACCTGAAAGTGAGCTTGTTCTTGTGTGTAACGGACGTGCTGTTGTCCCCATGGGAAGCCAGAGTGCGTCCCTCAGTGAAGTGGAATGATGTCTCCAGACGGCTTTAGCAACATAGAGGAGCCCTGGGGTGCTGGTAATGGAGAGGGTAGCGGTTTGATTCCCCCAGCTGCCCCTTTGAGAAGGATGTAGCTGTCAGCGTGCCTCCCTCAATACCCGGGAAGCCTACAGGCCTTCCTGCGCTGTCCTTCACGGGCGCTGAGTTACAACTGGCTACGTGGCGACAGACATGGTTTCAGTTTATGTAGGGGGCCCGTGCGGCACAGTGGGTAAGCACTGAGCTGCTAACCAAAGGTTCGATGGTTCAAAGCCCTCAAGCACTCTCTGTGGGAAAGTAAGGCAGCCTGCTTCATGATGACTGACAGCCCTGGAGACCCTCTCGGGCGGCTCCCCTCTGTGGCCCCGTGTTGGGGGTTGGGCTCACCTGGACGGCATGATTTAGGTACACATGGAAGGGGCTCGGGGCATGTGGTAAAGTGGTCAGCTGTTAACCAGCAGTCCGCGGTCAGAGTCTCATCACTCTGAGTGAGCAAGGGCAGGTGGGCTCTTCCTGTCAAGGTCACAGCCGAGGAAGCCCTCACCGTTCTAGTGTCACGTGGGTCACTGTGAGCCGGAATTGACTGGCTGGTGTACAACATGCCTACGATGTGCACAGGATGCCTGCGGTGTTCATGGGATGCTTGCGGCGTGCTCAAGGTGCATGCGGTGTGCAGGGCATGTGTGCTGTGTGCACGGGATCTGTGCAGTGTGCAGGGCATGCGTGCGGCGTGCTCGGGAAGCATGTGGTGTGCACAGACTTGGCAGGTCATGAGCGACAGGTGAGGGCTCACATCCTGCCCAGTGCTCAGAATGGTTTTCCTCAGTGTTCAGTCAGGAATAAGCAGTGTGAGGTCAGCCAGGTCCCCCTCTGTCTTTGTCCCCTTTGCCCTTGTTTTAATGTCATTCTTCCTAATGACTGCTCTCAAGGGCCCTTGCATTTAAGGAGCTGGTGAGGTGGTGCTCTTGTTTTGACTGAGGGTCTGTGTGGAATTTTGGTTGTTTTTTTATTTAAGCCTCTTGTTTAGACTCAACAAGACCTTGTGGAGCGCCCTTGTGTTTAGAAGTTGGTTGGGCTTGAGGGATTATATTTTAATCCCTTCTTATTATATTTTGGAGGAACATTCTTCTAAGTGGTACAGCACTCTTCTGTCAATGTGCTGTACTGAGGTAACCTAGGTTTGCTGTGATGCTGAACCTTCTGCCACTGGGATCTCAAATGCCATAATGGCTTTCCATGGTGGACAGTGTTTGGTGGAGCTCTCAGTTTAAGACAGGTTTGGAAGCAGGAGTGGAATCCAATTCCTAAACCGTATGCCTCTGGAAACTCTATGAACTTGGAGAAACAAAGACAGTTATAGAAAGGCTTCAGGTCTTTTGTTCATAGGGTCGCTATGAGCTGTGCTCCACTTGATGGCAATCAACAACAACAATGACTGCTCTAGGGAGCACTGGTAGCCTAGTGGTAAGAAGTTGCACTGCGATCTCAAGGGTTCTCAGTTCTAATCCAGTGGCTGCTTCGTGGGAGAAGGATGGCCAGTCTTTTTCCATGTGATTAACTGTCTCTGAAAACCCACAGGAGGCTCAGCTTCGAGTTGATTCTGACTCGGTGGCACACACCAACAATGGCATGCAGATGACAGGGGTGTGAGGAGGCGGGCTGCTGGGGGAGCGTGCCCACTGGGGAGGGAACAGAAGGAGAGGGCAGAAGTGGAGGTGCAGCGGTGCAGGGGTGAGCGGGGAAGCTCAGGCCAGAGCATGTGCTCGCTTTGTTTAGAGCAAGAAGTGAGGGTGCAGCAGGTGGGGGGAGCGGGGCAGCCCAGGCTCGAGCGTGTGTTCCCCTTTGTTTAGAGCAAGAAGAAAAAGAAGAAGTCCATTGCTGCATATGATCCAGGCTCCTCGTCCATACTGTTCTTGACCTCCGGCAGCCTGGGTTCTCTCTCACTCCCGGCGTCTGTGGACCCAGCCCTGAGTGGAGGCCCAAATCGGAAGGATGGTGTGAGCTGCCAGCCCCCATTAGGTGGTGCCAGCACCGAGACTGACCAGGACAGAGGGAGACACTGGTCCCCTACCACCAATGCTGACACCCTGTGTGACCAGGGTGCCGTGAGCCCCCAGAGCCCTTCTGATGGGGCTGACATCAGAGACAACCAGGGTGGCGTGAGCCCCCAGACCCCTTCTGGAGGTGCTGACATCAAAGGCGACCAGGAAGGATTGAGCCCCAAGACCCCTTCTGGAGGTGCTGACATCAAAGGCAACCAGGAAGGATTGAGCCCCAAGACCCCTTCTGGAGGTGCTGACATCAAAGGCAACCAGGAAGGATTGAGCCCCAAGACCCCTTCTGGTGGTGCTGACATCAGAGGCGACCAGGATAGAGTGGGCCCCCAACCCCCCTCCAACAGAGCTGACACCCGGTGTGACCTGCACCCACCCAAACTGGAGGTCAGGAGCCAGCATTTAGGCCTGGGCAGGTCACAGCTGGAGGGAGCTGGCTCCCCAGAGCCCCGAAAGGCAGCTGGGGCCAGTGGCTGCCCTGTGACAGGTCAGTCTGGTGGAGGAGCAGAAGCAGCCACTAGGGGAGAGACCCAGAAAAGTACAGAGCCCCAGGGCCCCTCTAGGCCATCTCAGGAAGAGCTTGTCCACACACAGCCATCGCCAGAGTCCACAGGAGCTGACTCCAAGCCCAGGGAGGAGGTGAAGACCACCAGGAAGCATGCCTCTCAGGCCCTGGATTCTGGGGTGAGTTGTTAGAGAAGCTGATGTGTGTGTGTGGTTCTCTGTGGCCAGGGGCCAGGCCCAGGCCCAGGGAAGCTGTGAGGGGTTCCGAGTTGAGACTTTTTTTAAAAGTTATTTATTATTTATTGTGTGTGTACCGTCAAATTGAATGTGAGTGCTACAGGAGGAGATTGCTCCTCCTTCTCCAACAGAGCATCTGGTGGATTCAAACCGCATACCTCTGGGATTGCAGTGCAGCTTCTTGCCACTAGGCCACCAGAGCTCCCTTTGAGTTGAGACTCTTATCTGGGAGATGATCCCGTTAGATGTGCTCCCCGGGGCTCGGGGTGCTGTGGAGGGAGACCTGGGCTCCCAGGCTGTCCCTGAGTCTGTGCTACTGCTCATCTGGGTTGCCAAGCCCTCGGCCCCCTGTTGCACCTCACCCTTCTGCTCTACCCTGCTGCTGACGCTACGCCTGTGTTTCTTCCAGGCCAATGACCCTCCAGCCAAGCCAGCCCATGATGTGAAAGGGGTCAAGGACAATAAGAACAAGTCGAAGAAGGAGAAGGCACCAGCAGTAAGTGTTCTGTTTCCAGAAAACACGGCCACGGTGGCGCCCGATGCATGAAGTCACTGCCCCACAGCCACCTGGCATACCCAAGGGGCCTCCTTCTCCCCGTCCTCCATAACACGTGGATTAAGTGCTTTGACATGGACACACATACAGAGAGCCCTTCCCTGGAGCACGTACTGTGGAGGTGGCAGGATGGGAAGAGTCAGACAGTGAGAAGTATGCTGGAGGCTTGGAGGGTGGGCTCTGAAAGGCAGGGGTTAACCTTAACCGGAGTAGCTGAGGACAGTGTCTTCAGAGGAGTGAGTTTGGACCAGAAATCTGAGCAGATGAAGGTACTCTAGGCAGAGCCACCTGCTCTGTTCAGGAGCATCCAGGCAGCCAGTGCCCTGAATGGGCATAGAGGAGGGCAGCCCCTGATGGCATCAGAGGCTACAAGTGGACAGCAACCATGAAGGGTCAGGGCAAGGAGGCATGAAGTCACTCTGCCCAAGGGGCAGGCTCAGAGCTGAGCTGACAGGTGGGGCTTGATTATGTGTCCAGACAGCTGAGACCCAGGATAGAACAGCAATTCCTGGAGCAAACACAGCAGAGAGCAAGACAGCTCAGCCGGCAGACGACAAGAAGAAGCCAGAAGGGAGCAGAACCACTGCAGCGGCAGAGAAGAAGGACAAGAAGCCAAGTGCCCAGAAAGAGAGCACGGGGGCTCTGGGAAGGTAGGTGCACCTGACCCAGGGCTGTGCTAGGAGCCACAGAGCACAGGGTACCTGGGGAGGTGGGTGCACCTGACCCAGAGCCACAGTGCAGCGTAGCAGGTGCACACCTGGAACAGGAGCCAGCCTGGGAGTGATACAGGAACACAGCTTCCTGAGGGGTTTTACATCTTTGACTAGTGCATTTTGGAGGAACAGAGACCCCAGATGGTTTCCTCGCTCAGTAATGTGATGCCCGAGGCCTTTCAAGGATGCTGCAGGCCCTGGCTCTGCACCAGCCTGCCCACACTGCCTGCTGCCCTCTGGTGACCTCTGCACTTCATCGCCCCTCAGATGGGGCCCATGTCCACTGTGTGTGTTAGTGCACACCCCACCCCACCCCCAACAGCCAGGCAGGCCAGAAGCTCCTGCAAAACGCTAGGCAGAGGCTGGTGTCAGGAGTGTGACTCCAAGGAGTTCTCTACCTGTCCCTGAGCTGACACTGGTTATTCTGTCATCATTCTGTAAACAAGCGTTGTTGTTAGGTGCCGTCAAGGAGAGTACAGCTCATGGCAACCCTGTGGACAACAGATCTGAGCCCTGTCCCATCCTGTGCCGTCCTCACTGTCTGACACACTTGAGCCCATTGCTGCAGTCACAGCGTGCAAGCACCACACTGTCTGCGTGTGCACACGCTGGGTGGGTCGGTCTGACTGTCAGTGGTCTGTTTTGTTTCTACTCCAGCTCGCTCAGCCCTGGTGAGGGAGTCATGGTATACTTCCATGCCATCATCTCAAAAAATTTCTCCTTCAACTGTGACCAACATCAGATAGTCATAAAAGGTGGAGAAGAGCTGGGGACGCCAAAGTGGAACGTGCATGTCTGCGAGATGAACTTCGCCAAGTAAGTGCTGCTGGGAAGACGGGCTGCTACGGGGGAGTGTGTTAGTCCTCAGGCTAGGTCGCTTTGGTGGCCTAGTGGTAAGAAGCAGTGCTGCAAGCCCAAAGGCCTGTGGTTCAAATCTACCAGCTGATCTGTGGGAGAAAAATGGGTAATCTCCCGTGTGACTGGTTGCCTCTGAGAACCCATGATGACTAGTTGCCATCGCATTGTTAGAGTCCTTTAAGAATCTGTATAATATTTCCTTTCTTTTTTAATCCTCCCCCTTTTTGTATACTGTCGAATCAGATCCAACTGACACAGGAGATTTCCCCTCCTTCTCCAGCAGAGCTTGCTGTGGATTTGAACCATGCACCTCCAGGATTACAATGCAGTTTCTTGCCATCCATTAGGCCACCAGAACTCCCTAGGAATATGTGTATTGAAATGTACAGAAGTGATTTCTACCAAGAAATTCCATCCTCCTGCTTTGGGGAAAATGAGTGTTTCAGACCTATAACTCTGCAGTGCATGTCGGGGTCATATAATGCCGTGCTGTATCACGTCTGTGTCCTCTATTACCATGCTATATCATGTCTGAGTCATAGCATGCCATGCTGTACCATGTCTGGGTCATATATTACCACGGCCCTTGTCTCAGTCTGTCTGGAAACTGGGTCTCATCCCTGATCACATGGGCATGTGCTTTGTGCGAACGAGATGTGCTGTATTTGAGAAGAACTGAAAGAGCCCTGCTGGGGCTAGGGGTCGGCTGCTTACTGAAAGGCTGGCGTTTGAGTCCCCAGGCTGCTCCATGGGAGAAAGATGGGCAGGCTCCTCCCATGAGGACTCGTTGCCATGGGAACCGGTGGGTGAGCACAAGGAGCAGCAGCCCCTCCATGTGCTGGTTTACAGTTGCTCAGGTGGGCTGTCCCATGACGGCTGATGTTCTGTTTACACAGAGACTTGGGCGAGCATGGCTGCCTCGTCGAAGGCAGCACCTTCATTTCCAAGCAGCACCTGGACAAGTTCATTCCGTACAAGTATGTGATTGTGAAGCATAACAAGGAGGAGTACGAGTTCATCTACAAACCTCAGCAGAAGGAAGGAGAGCATGTCAACCGCTGTCTGCACATCAAGGCTTCACTCGTGCGTTCAGGAGGTAAAGCCCTGGGGCTTCCTGGCCAAAGCTCACCCTTGTCTCCAGGGGAATACACTCTGGAAGGATGTGCCAGCCTTGTCTTTCAGCCTAGCACTTCCTGTGTGAAGAAATAGGAGAGATTTTCAGACAGGAAAAGAGGAACCCAGTGGCTGGGAAGTACAGAGTCTCGACTGGGGGTCATGGGCACAGCACCACCCTTATCCAAGTCCCTGGGAGACAGGAAGCTTCTGGTTTTCCACATGAATAGATAGAAAAGCTAAGAGGGGAGATGGGCGGTGGGGGCGCCCGTCGCCTGTTGTCACCATGGCCACGGTCCCGTCCTGGCTTCCCTTCCCTCTGCACTCTGTCCTCTTCTCTGTGTTGTGTTCTTTTCTTCCTTTGCTCTGTATGGTTCATTCACTGCTTGCTAGGTGTGTGCAAGAGGTTCTGTTGGAGTAGTTATGTGTTGGGCTGCTAACAAAAAGGTGAGTGGTTTGAACCCACCAGCAGCTGCGTGGGAGAAGGAAGCACAGACTCCTTCCATAGAGATTTGCAGCCTCAGAACCTGATCACTGTGAGTCAGAACCGACGTGGTGCCAGGGGGCCTGATTTTGGGTTTGTGGGTGAGTGTGTGGTGTGTGCACCTGCGTGTTGTGTGTGGATTGCCTGTGTGGGCTCTCCTTTGGGGATGTGAAAGAAGGAGCAAACCACCAGCCAGATGTGAAAGTTCTATGCATACCTGCTTTGTAAAACCTGTTTACTGTTGTTGTTAGGTGCTTTCTAGTCGAGTCAGATGCATAGTGACCCTGTGAACAACAGATCTGAACCCTGTGCTGTCCTGCGCCATCCCCATCACCCTCATCACACTTGAGCCCACTGCTGTGGTCACTGTGGTAATCCATCCTGCCAAGAGTGTCCTCTCCTTCACTGCTCCTCCACCTTTTCAAGCATAACGTCCCTCGCCAAGGAATAGCTTCTCTTAGCAACATGCTCAGAGTATGTGAGATGAAACGTCATCATCTTTGCCTCTGAGGAACAGTTTGGCCACACCTTCTCCAAGACACAGCTTTTTGTTCTTTTGCCAGTCCATGGGATATTGGTGCTCTTCTCCAATACCACAGCTCAAATGCATCAATATTTCTGTCATCCTTATTCATTGTCTAGCTCTCAGATGCATAGCAATTGATTGAAAAGACCGTGGCCTGAATCAGACATACTTTAGTCTTCAAACTGATATCATTAGCACCTTTTTTAAAAACTCTGGAAAATGTGGAAGTCCATTCCTGTGACCACACCCTTGTGTTTGTTGCTGGTCACTGCAGCTGCATGTCTCTGGACACTCTGTGGAAAGGGATATAGGTTTACAACTCCTTGGTAGTCTGTTACTGTGTCATTTGGGTAAGATGTTTTGAGCAGGAAGGAGTTTGGTACAGTGAATTGAGGAAGGACTGCCCAGAAATCTGGGAAGAAGTCTACTCACCTGAGTGACAGGAGGCTGTGCCCTGGGACAGGTGTCTTGAAGATGCTGCAGGACCCTCATCTCCTGAACCTCCACATCCCTCTGCCTCTTGTCTTTCTGTTGCTGTACATTTCACTTTGTAACATGTTACAAACACCATGCTACACTATTATTTTGATTTGTCAATTATCTTTCAAGGAAATGTGAACAAGGACAATATATAGATACATCCATGTAGTTATCAATTCTTGCGTGCGTCATTGCTTTCTTTAGATCCGTAATTATACCTGATGCCATTTGCTTTTTGCCTAAAGGATTTTGTAAGGCATTCTTCTTTTTCTTAGTGCGGATCTTCTGGTAATATATTGTTCTAGTTTTCCATGTCTGAAAACAGCTTTGTTTCATACATTTGCTTCTGAAAGTTCTTTTCATTAGGTATAGAACTGCGTTGGGTTTTTCTCTTTTTAATATTTTCCATATGGTGTTCCACTGCCTACTCACTGCTATTGTTTCCAATGAGAAGTCTGTAGTCAGCTTTATCTTTGTTCCTGCACATGACGTGTGCTGGGCCATCTGTCCTTGGTACAGCAGTGCTTATGCACAGAGGCCACTTTCCTGCAGAAGGATGACTGGTCAGAGTGAGTTTGGAATGTCTGTGTCTTACATGTTTGTTTGGCTTTCCTTCGGCTTCACCTTCTTTCACACACTGCTTGTGTGCTTCTGCTGTCAAAACCAGCCTTCTAGGATAGAAGGTAGTGTGCCTAGGACTGGTGGATTTTCATTATCTTAAGTATAATATTTTTTTCTTTAGAGTGGCATCAGTATGATGATATAATCTGCACAAGGCCGCCTGGTCCAATTAAGAAGTTCTGGAATATTTTCACGGCCAATGAAAAGAAAAGTGTGGTGAATGGCAAGCAGATTGCAGCAGCCATCATGCTGGAGAGAGTCTTCAGCATTCTCCAGACCTGGAATGCCATCAACTTAAAGAGCTTTTTCATCCAGTTCTGGCAGTATTATGATGTTGTCCAAGCACCGATTGTCTATGAAGGAGGACCACAGTCGTGGAGCTCTTTCCTGCAGTACGATGAGAAGAAGGTACTGTGTGCCACAGATGATTCTGGAATATAGAGCGAGGGTCACTGTCTTCAAGGCTGTCAATATCACTCAACCTCTGGTGGCCAGGCGATCCCAACTGCTCTGCAGAAGGGGTGCAGATGGGGCAGGTAGACCTTTTGACCTTTCAAGCATAGTACCACCACGTGGAAATTCTGTCATCCTATCTTCTTCCTCATGGTTGCACTTCTGAACCTCTACTCAGTCTTGGTCCCAAGACCTTCTCTGACCTTGGGCTGGTGAATGAAGACTGTTCTCACTTCTTAGGCAGCATCCCTCACCATGATGTGGTCCTGGGTCAGTTCTGAGGTCATGGTCGAGGCCTCATAAGCACCCAGGGCCTGTCAGACCCACAAACCACGTCCCCTTTGCAGAGTGTCCTGAAGTGTGCCTTCGGTCCAGTTCCTGTTGTCCCTGAGGGCACCAAGGGGGCTGGCATAGGTGTGGCTGGGCAGGCTCAGACACAATTAAGGCAAAGTAGGGGCAGGGAGTGAGCTGACCCTCCATTTGGCTCCCCTTATCTCTGAGAGTCCCTGCTGGGCTAGTGTCTTGCTGTGGGGAGTGGTGGGACAAAGCCTTATGCTTCTGGGCAAATCCAGCTTCATGGTTCCTGTGTCTTCCTTCTTTCATGGGATTAGGTGGAGAGAGACCTATGGAATTATTTGAGAAAAAAAGTGGATCTTTTTTTGCAAAGTCACCATAAGAAGGACCTGCCTGATGACTGGCCAGTGAGGAGTGGACTGAGAATGGGCCTCATTGCCCTGTTTGCAGTGGAAGAGTTTGACCTTCCTTTGGGGGAAGCTGACCTGTCCTCACTGTGCAGTCTTCTCTGCTTGAGTACATACTCACCAGATGCCTTGAGTGGGGAAGTCCAGCTCATCCTCCAAACGTCTTGGAGGTAACCTTTCATTTATTCATGGGTTAAATGGTTTATAGATCTTAATATACTTTTTCTGATTAGAAGATTAAATGTTTATCATACAATAATTGAAAA